TTTCTTTTTCTCTTTTATTGCTTATTAGTTTAGATTTATTTCTATGCTTGTAGTTAGATTTTATTTTCTTGTTAAATAGCCAAGAGGCTAGAACCCTCTTGCCTTAGATTTATTTCATGCTTATAGAGTAGATTTATTTTCTTGCATTTAATTCTTGCAATTTTATTTTGTAGTTTAGATTTTGCAATTTATTTTGTAGTTAGATTTTAATTTCTTATACTATTCACCTTGAGGCTAGAACCCTCTTGGGTTTAGTTTTTCTTTTGTTTATTTTTATTTTGTTTGATTCGCCTTTAGGCTAGAACCCTCTAGGGAATCACCTTTTTCTAAGAAGTGGATTTAATTGTAGATTACCCATATCTATAATTGAATCCACCATCTTTAATTTCTTGTATTTTATTTTATTCTAGAATTTTGTTCTTCATTCTTGATTTTTTATTTTGTTTCTTGATTTTATTTATTTTTTCCTTCTCACCTTATTGATCATACTCATTCTTTTTCAAATCCACTCTCACTTACACTTGCACCTATTTACACACCATTTTCACTATCTCAATCTCTTCACAATCACATTCACTCATCAATCTTATTTGTCACGCACACAACATAAGAACCGATTTTATATTTTCTCCTACAAAACACCTTCCTCGTGGGATCGATATCTTAAATACTATAACTTGACACGGTTGTGCACTTGCAACCTTTTTGGTACATGTTTATGCCGCATCAGAGCCTCTTTCCACGCCACTGCTAATAGGAAGCTTCTTCAGAACTATGTAGTAGGGGACTTTGGGAAAGTGTACTTGGGGGATAACGAGCCTTGTAATATTGTTGGAAGAGGTGATGTGTAGATTCAGATGAAGGGCTCCAAGTAGAATCTCAACAGTGGGAGCATGCAATGCAAGAAGAGATGGATTCTCTACACACTAATAAGACATGGGTGTTAACTCAGCTACCTGCACAAAAAAAGTCTTACATAATAAATAGGTCTACCGGGTCAAACAGGAGAGTGATGGAAGCAAGAGGTACAAGGACATATTAGTCGTGAAGGGGTCCTAACAAGATATTTTTCTCCGTTGTGAAGCTTACAACTATCAGAGTGGTGTTAAGCTTAGTAGCTGTAGAAGATCTCTACATTGAGTAGTTGGACATGAAGACTGCCTTTCTTTATGATGACTTGGATGAAGAAATCTACATGAAGCAACCTGTTGGCTTCATTGAGGAAGGAAAGAAAGAGATGGTGTGTAGGCTCAAAAAGAGCTTGTACGGTTTGAAACAAGCTCCGATACAACGGTACAAGAAGTTCGACAACTTCATGCAGAGCAATGGATATGAAAGATGTAATTCAGATCATTGTTGCTATTTCAAGAGGTTTGAGTCTAGCTATATCGTGTTATTATTAAATGTTGATGACATGTTAGTTGCAGGATCGTGTTTAGAGGAGATAAACAAATTAAAGAAGCAATTGGCGAAGGAGTTTACTATGAAGGATCTGGGTGCAGCGAAGTAAATTCTTTGGATGCGAATCAGTAGAGATGAAGTTGAAGGGACGTTGAAGTTGAGTCAAGCTGAATACATTAAGAAGGTACTTCAGAGATTCAACGTGGAGAATGCTAAGCCCATCGGCATGCCCCTTGGATGTCAATTCAAACTATCTGAGGAGAAATCACCCAAGACAGATGCAGAGAAGGAGAACATGAGCAGAGTGTCGTATTCATTAGCCATTGGTAGTCTTATGTACGCGATGGTTTGCACAAGGCCGGATATCGCCCATGCAGTTGGAGTTGTGAGCAAGTTTGCAAGCAATCTGGGAAAGTAGAATTGAGATGTCGTAAAGTGGATATTGCGTTACTTGAGAGGAACTACTGATATGTTATTATATTTCAGGAGGAAGGAGTTGGTACTACGGGGATACATGGATGCAGATTTTACCGGTGATCATGATACAGGACAAAGTACCACGGGTATGTTTATACCTTAGTGTCGACAGCAGTGAGCTGGGTCTCATGTTTGCAGAAGATAGTATTGTCCACGACTGAGGCAGAGTATATTGTAGTGACTAAAGCCAGTAAGGTTGGTTCTGTAGGTTGTCTAAAAATCACTACAGATAGCTAATCCTCATCAAACACTAATGATGGAAGTTATAATTTGATAACTTCCAGAAGACTATAATTTGAAGACTTTCACGTAGATCGATAAAAGTTACAATCTGATAACCTTCATAATAACTGATGAAAGCTCTAATTAACGGTCTTCATAATCAATATCGGGAGTTACAATCTGGCAACTCTTATATTTTTAAAGAGCCAAGATGAAGATTACAAGATGACGGTCTTTGTAACGCTCTAGCAAAAAAGACTACAAATTGATGGTCTCTTCAAATATAGACGCAGAACTCACCTCTGTGTCCAAGATTCAAAACGTAGAGCTCGTGGCCGCACTCCAAACTCCCAGAAGCAAAATGCAGAACCCGTAGCTGTATTCCAGAACGAGACGCAAAGCTCAAGAGCTGTGTTCCAACTTCAAAATGCAAGGGCCAGGCTTGCAGTCTAGATTCAAAATGCAGCGCGACCTGTGCATTCTCAGCCATCAACGCATATCCCAACTCTACGTTTCAGTCCCAGAATGCAGTGTTCGTGCCCAAAATGCTGATTTTGCGTTTGACTTGTTCAAATACGAGTTAAACGGTTCTAAAACCGTTCTCCCATGATTTTAGGGGGGGGGGGGGGGGGGGGGTTACACCCCTTAAACCACTTGAATGGTTTCAAAACCATTTTTCATGAAATGGGGTCGGTTACACCCCATTAAGGAGAGATTTTAGGGGATGATTACACCCTTAAAAAACCCTATAAATAGCGAAAAACTCAGTTGAGTTGGGGGATCTTGGGGGGGGGGGGGGGGGGATTACACCCCTTAAACCACTTGAATGGTTTCAAAACCATTTTTCATGAAATGGGGTCGGTTACACCCCATTAAGGAGAGATTTTAGGGGATGATTACACCCTTAAAAAACCCTATAAATAGCGAAAAACTCAGTTGAGTTGGGGGATCTTCGATCTGAAATTTAGGAGATCAAAACGGCACAAAGGAGAAGTTGACATTCTTGGACCAAGAGCATCCTCAGCAATAGAGAGTTCTTGGAGCTTTCATCCTTGTCTTATTAACCGATTTTCGGTTCAAATTAACTCTTTTTCAAGAGTTTAAACTTGCTCCGAGTTATCAACGTATCAAGAGTTTCAAACTTGCCACACAAGTTCTCCTCAACGTCAATCAAGAGGAATCAACCACGTTCCACAAAGCGAGGTGGTCGGGTCGTCAACGGAGAGAAAACTCAACGCGAGCATTCGAGGGAGATACTCCATCGCCACCGTGAAGAACCCAAAATTAAACAAAGGAGAGTATTTATATTGATCATCTTCTCTTTTGTAATCAGAAATTCAAATTATAATAAGTTAGAGATCGAGAGAGTTGTAAACATTCTTTTTCTAAGCAGTTAGAGAGAATAAATCAAGTTTAATTCTTTCAATTGTTTTTTTATAAAATTTCCAACAAATAAAAGATGGTGACTCCGCTGGGGACTAGTTTTTTCACCAATGAAGAAGTGGTAGTGCAATCTGATACTAAGCTCGCTGGAACGACTGTTGAAACTCTGATCATTGAGTTTGATCAAACCAAGTATGAGGAGTTACTCTCCTTCGGATCCCCGGGTGCCTGGAAGTGTTGGGTTTGAAGCAGGGGAATGACGTTCTTTATCGTGATAACCAGAGTGCTATACACCTTGCCAAGAATCCAATATATCATGCCAGAATAAAGCACATCGATGTACGTTACCACTTCATACGCTCTCAGATTGAGGATGACAAGTTATGATTGGAGAAGATTTTGGGGAGCCAAAATCCTACGAATATGTTGTCAAAAGCAGTGACTATCGGCAAACTGGAGTTGTGTGTAACTTTAGTTGGCCTTCACGCATAGGAGATGAGGGCAGAGCCACACTAGGAGGATCGATGGGATCGCCAAGATGATGATGATTAAAGAATGGATTTTTCTGGGTAGGAGAAGATGCTTGCGAAGAAGGCGGGAGTTTGGGAGAGCTAATTGATGGTGGTTTTGTCTCTAAGTGGGAGATTATTGGTTTTGGGAGTGTGAACACCGAAACTTGAAACAAATCTGAGAGCCTAAAAAATCTTAGGTCGGTTGATTGACAAGGAGTGACCCCGGTCGACCGCGTAGCCTACAGGAAACGAGCATGAGAAGCTCGCTCTGGCCGGTCGATTGACAGGGATGGTCCAGTTGATCGAAAAACCTGTAGGAATCCATGCCCAGAATCGAGATCTGGTCGGTCGACTGACTGAGGACTCCGGTCGACCGAAAACGTGCACAAGCAGACCCTGTAAAATTGATACTCTGGCCGGTCGACCAAAGCCCTTGGTTCGGTCGACCGAAGTCAGGATTTTCAGTTTCCTAATTGATTTGAGATTCAGTTTTGGGCTGGGTTTATATATATTTCCTAATACATTTTTAGGGTTATGTTAACATGAAAAAGAGGGTTTTGATGGATTCTTTTAGAGAGATATCAGAGAGATAAAAATCTATTTGTGGGCATTGTAATCTTCTTCAATTAATCAAAGAATTGTGTGTTGTGGCTCCCAATGACGTATGCACGTTTGCCGAACCTCATTAAATCTGGTGTGTTCTATTTGTGAGCATTGTAATCTTCTTCAATTAATCAAAAAATTGTGTGGTGTGGCTCCCAATGACGTATGCACGTTTGCCGAACCTCGTTAAATCTGGTGTGTTCCTTCTTGTTTATCTTTCTTGCAATTTTTCTTTTATTTGCGGTGATTTTCCTACTTGTTAAACTCTTAGTACAAGATCCGGAAGGGCACGGGTTCGATTGATTGTTTCGAATCCCCAACACTTCATACTGAAGGATATTCAAATCCTTCTTTTTATTCACGCATCAAAATAAAATATCAGCAAGACAAAAGAAAAAGACAGACGGCGAATACTGATTTAGATTCAAACACAACAAAAGGAAAAAAAAATTGTTCGTCTTCCACATCTTTATTTAGAATACAAGCTCACACAAGCAGCTATAAATTGCAAAGAAACTATTTACACGACTTCAATTGTATTTCATAAAGGATATATCTGCAGACAGGACTTCAATTGTTCTTCCGAAAATGATATATCTGCAGATTTTCCACTCTCATCTTCTGAAAATTACTGCTCCTCCGAGACCTGAAGAAACGTCCCCAACTGAATTCATTGTATTTAGCTGGATTATCTTCAGTCACAAGTTCCCCTATAGGCTTCATAATTGTATAATGTGCAGGATAGAAGAAGAATGGGATTGAAAACCTCTCCTTGTCCGAGTTCAACGACACCCTGTGCTCCGTGCTCTCATACTTGTCGTTACTCCAAACCTGCATGAATGTGTTTGTAAGGAAATATCAACAGTTTTAGAATGAAATTTGAATTTTTTTTTGTCTGAGGAGATTATAAGATTCACAAATAATCCCTCTGAGGTTTTACCAAATTATTATTATTTTTTGATTTTTCCATCTTAATTTCTATGAAATTAACCTTGATGTCTAAACAATTATTTCTCAAAACTTTTTTATTAGTACCCTTGATCTCCAAAGAAATTAATCCCTCTGTACTATATGAAGTATGAGCAATTTCTTTTCACAAAACTAAGTATGAGCAAAATTTCCTTTCACAAAACATTTTTCTTAGTACCCTTGATGTCTAAACAAAATTTATCTCTCTTTTTTCTCCGTTATTAATTCGTATGTGTACTACACGAAAAATGTTCCACAACCGTAATAGAATAAGTGTTGCTCTACAGCATGCTGAAGTAGTCTCTCTGCAAGATATAAAGTAGTACGGGTAATAAATGACTAACCTACTCCAGCACATGAGGTGTATATCCAATTGATCCTATACTAAAAAGTTGATGATTATATCCAAACAATTGAGAATTACATGACTAAATACTGAAAATAAAGGGAAATAATGCCACATTTAAAAATCTTAGTACTTTGCCACTTTTACCTGGATGAGATCACCTATATTGATGATGTATGAGTCGGGAACGGGCTTGACACGGACCCACTGTCCATCGGACTTCCTCTTGACATCGAGGCCACTGACATTGTCCTGTGCGAGGACTGTGAACGCTCCTTGGTCCTTGTGCGGTCCCACGCCGAGGGCAAGGTCAGGGGAAGGGCATGGAGGGTAATGGTTGAGGCGGATTCTGCTGATGGAGTCCTTGAAGTAGCCGTTCAGTCGTTTGGCCGGTAAGTTTAAAGTCATCGCAACGAGCTCGAGCAGTTTGAATGACAGGTCTTCGATGGCTTTTGAGTAATTCATGCAGGCATCTCTGTTGAAAGGGACATTGCAGAATAGAATGCAAATTTGAAAGATTCAAGATAAAGAAACTCTAGAAATATGTTTCTACAGTTCAATCATGAGAGACAGTGAAGGGTTTTAAATATACACAGTAACCCAATCAGAGGGTATTATACATTTTCAGAATTACAGAGGGTAAATTTATAGTAAACACAAATATATCCTGGCTTTAGATTTGGCAGGAATCCATGCCTCCAAATAATTATGTTGCTCTGTAACTGATGATGTGTAGCTTGACATATATATTGTGAACAACACTATTGTTTTTGTTGTATTTTTATTTCGTTAGCAAAAATGTTTATATCTCGTCAAATATCTATCCAATACCTGAAATATGGGACTTCCTCCTTCTATTGAAGCCCGATTCTCGATCATCTAGGTAATATCCATACAGATGATATCATGTAGGTTATATCCATACAGGTCATGGGTATGACAGAGGCTAACATAATAACATACAAGTCATAAACATGTCAATTGGCTCAGTAAAGGCGAGGCTTGAACTGAGGTCAAGTCCAATCTGAGTCGTTTGATACAGTTCAGTCCACAGAAAACTCAGTTTGAATTAGGGTTACAGGATTGTAGTCAAAAACGTCATTAGACCGGAGTTCTAGTGTCAAATACTCTTGTAAGCTGCTCAATCCTTACGAATCAAATTGCTCTTTCATCAGCTTAGAGAAGGGGTAACCTTCAGATCAAACTTAATTCCCTTTTAGTGACACACATGTAATAGAAAGAGTTCATTCAGGCTAATGTTTTACGCTGTGCGTTACTTGTTATGTCGCTGACATATATACAGAGCATCGGTATGGTCAGATCATAACTGACAATTTGAGTATGTGCCATAGTCAAGAACATGGAGTGGCAGTCCAATCCCTAGCAACATGCATGGTTTCTTCAATATTCTGTTATTTAATGAAAATTATTGCTTGATTGGTAGATGGTTCGGATACGGCTCATGTATGATACTTATCATTTATATATCTATTTATCAATCATGGATACAGATATGTCTTGATAAGGAAAAATACATATCCAATCCGCTAAAGTCGGATATGCATATGGATATACATGCAAATATATATGTGAACACGAAATAGATATGTGAAAACCAGTTAATAATGAAAAAAAATTTATATGATACAAGAGAAGAGTTCGTTAATATGTTTGTTATATCTAAAACGCTAAGATTTGATCTCTTGATCATCAAAATTAACCTCAAACTAAGAATCAAAACTATAGCAACCGTATCACCAACATATATTTGGACATTTCAGATCCGGATCCGAATATTTCACCACATATTCGCATCTATAATCATATCCTATCAGTTATGATATTTAGTAACCATATCTTCTTGGATACAGATATTTTTTTGCCCCCCTACTAGCAACAATTAAAGAATGGGATGACTATGTTCTCTCGTGTTTGGTGAAGATACCAAGTGCAGATACTAGAAAGGGAACAAAAAAAAATCAACATTGAAAATAAACTATTATCTCTAGGTAATTACCTCATGTTCTCCGGATACTCTGGCCACCGATTCCAAATCTCCTGGATCCTTGTCTCGCCAATTTCACCCGACGCTGGAACAGTCATCACGTCATTAACACAAAAATCAAACACCTCCTTCCAATCCCTAACGTTCTTCGTATTCTCCATATCATAATACCCAAGAAAATTCTCCTCGTTCCTCCTCACTCTCCTCTTCTCCTCAGTCGGCAGAGCGAAGAACTCTCTCGCTGCCGACTGAACTCGTTCGAGGAGTTCGATCGGGACGCCGTGGTTGATGACTTGGAAGAAGCCAACTTCTCTGCATGCTGCTTCGATTTCTGCAACAAGCGTTCTGATAGGTAGCGTATTGTCACCGGCGGTGATTGGAGCTGTGAAAAGTGGAGAGAGGTCGATGATAGGGATTGATTCTACATCGGAGATGTTGGGTTTGGGTCGATGGTCGGGTTTCTGAATGAAGGCTGGACCAAATTCTGAACCCATGTTTTTTTTTTAGTTCCCCTTGATCTCTCGCTCTAATTCTGTCTAAATAGCTGTTTCAAGTATCACGGGGACAGAGAGCGGGTTAGAGTGGAATGTATCTGGATGTGTTTTCGGGCTTTTGTCGTCGTGTTCTTGTTTCTGGCGTGACGCGCGCCTAAGCAACTTAAATCATTTTCAGCTTCTATTTTTTCCCCCCATGATAACCCCGCCTGGAATTGAAACTAGGATGGTGTGAGCTAAATTGGAACCTCCTAACTGTTCTTATTATTTTATTTTCTTACATTATCTCTTGTTTATCTATTATTTGAGATAAGAAGTGCTAGGCATATTGCTAAGCGCCGATCGGTACTTAGAGCCTAGACGCGTATGAGGCCACATAGGTTACTAAATATTTAGGAACCTCTCAATCAATTGAGGATACTTCAATTTGTTGACGATACTTTGCTCTTTGTCAAAAGCTCCTCCAATGATATTTCCATTCTCAAAGCTATTCTTTATATTTTTGAAGACATATCTGGATTAAGCATCAATTACTCAAAATCATCTCTCATATATTTTGGCAATATTCAAAACAAAGCTCAGACCTTAGCATCTTCCCTGGATTGCAAAGTTGGTCAACTTCCAATTAAGTATCTTGGCTTACCTCTCAAATATGGCAAATTATCCAAATCAGACTGGCAGCCTCTGTTAGATAATCTCTATAGGAAACTGGCTATCTGGAAAAAGACTACGCTATCTTATGGAGGGAGATTGGTTCTTTTGAATTCAGTTCTTACATCAGTGCCTTTATATTTCATGTCTTTTTATAAGCTACCTAAATGACTTGTCAAAGAAATTGATAAAGTTAGGAGGAACTTCCTATGGACAGGAAAGGCTGACACAAATACTTTCAAATGTTTGGTAAACTAGAAAAAAGTTTGCTTAAACAAAAATGAGGGAGGCCTGAGGATTAAAGATATTGTTGTGTTCAATTCTTCACTTCTGACTAAATGGCTATAGAAGTGCTTAGACATGGATTCATCTACAGGCAAGTTTCTTCACAATCTTTATGTTCATGGTAATACAACTCTACAGACCAGTTTTTTCATCATCTACAGGCAAGTTTCTTCACAATCTTTATGTTCATGGTAATACAACTCTACAGACCAGTTTTTTCAAGTCATCTTATTCATCATTTTGGAATGCTTTATGTTCATGGTAATACAACTCTACAGACCAGTTTTTTCAAGTCATCTTATTCATCATTTTGGAATGCTGTCTTATCTTAGAAAGACGCTTTTTCCCATAACATAAAATGGATGATAGGTTCAGGAGATAATACTAGATTCTGGGAAGACAAATGGACTGGTTTTAACAGTTTAGCAAGTGTTTTCCCTGAATCATATAAGTTAGCTCTCTCCTCTAATGCCACTGTCAGGAGCCAGGGTCTTTACAATGCACATGAATGGTATTGGCATTTGTTGATGAGAAGAAGTATTCATCCTAGTGCTCAAGCTGAAAATTGCTCTTTTGAATTTTATCAGTAACTTTCATATTGTTTCAACAAATTGTGATCAACCTCAATGGTCTCTCACTCCTAACAGTCAGTTCTCAGTTAGATCTCTTTATAATTTTCTTATTCGGAGAGGTGTTATATATCCCTTATACAAAGTTATTTGGAATACAGTTATTCCCTCTAAAGTTTGTATCTTTCTTTGGCTTCTTTCACATAACAAACAGAATACAAAGGAGATTTGTAGGCTGTCTAAAAGTCACAATAGATAGCTGATCCTCATCAAGCCCCGAAGATGAAAGTTACAATCAAACGACTTCCTAATCGCTGTATCTGCAACTCTGCAACCGCTACAAACACGGTCTCATTTCTGAGATGATTGATCTTGATGGCTGCGACAGCAGCATGACTAATATTAGCAACTATTAGAGATGCTGATGAGCAGTGTAATGATTTTAGAAATAAAAGGTTGGACTTAGTTGATGAGTTGCTTGGTAGAGAGCTGTGGGCAAATATTCGTCTAAAAGTCACTATGGATATTTGATTCCCGTCAAGTTCCAACAATGGAAACTACAATCAAATAGTTTTCGTGCCGTCGAGCGAAAGCTGCAAATAGAGGACTTTTCACATAGATCGAGAAGAGTTACAATTCAACGACACTTCCGACAACTGATGAAAACTCTATTCAGCAGTCTTCATAATCTACAGTGAAGGTTACAATCTGACGACTTTCACATTCTACAACAGCTAAAGCTAGGATTACAATCTGACGACTTTCACATTCTACAACAGCTAAAGCTAGGATTACTGAACAACGGTCCTTGCAACGCTCTTAGAAGAGGTTACCGATCAACTAATCTCTTCTAAAACGCGGAAGTCATCCCCGCGTCATAATTTTGGAAAAGCAGGCGACCCCCGCGTTTCCAAGCTATAACAAGCCAAACGTGAGCGACCCTCGCGTTCATTGGTGTTCAGCCAACACCGACCCCCGCGTTTCCAAGCTATAACAAGCCAAACGTGAGCGACCCTCGCGTTCATTGGTGTTCAGCCAACACCGACCCCCGCGTTTCCAAGCTATAACAAGCCAAACGTGAGCGACCCTCGCGTTCATTAGTGTTCAGCCAACACCCAACCTCGCGTCTCAATTCTAAGAGGCGACGTTGGGTTCTGAACGCTAGATTGGGCGTTTGACTCGTTCGAATATGAGCCGAACGGTTTCAGAACTGTTTCCCCACGATCTGAGGAAATCACGCCCACTTAGGAGCGGATTTAGAGGGCAGTTACAACCTCTTATCCACCTATAAAAACTCAACAAACTCAACTGAGTTAAGGGCTGGCTTTTTGGGTACGGAGAAGCAGCAAGTTAGATCTTGAGGATCTCAACTGCACAGAGAGGCATGAGAGAGGCAAAAATCCTTGGAGATAGGATTTTTGAATCAAGTCCAGAAGATCAAAACCGAAGGGATTCTTCAACAACAGAATATCTGCTTGGTCATTAACCGAATTTTCAGTTCTAACAACTCTATTCACAGAGTTCTAACTCGTTCAGAGTTCTTAAACTCATTCAGAGTTACTCATCAAACTTTCCACAGAAGTTCATCGTTCCCACGAGATAAAAGACGGTCGGATCGTCAACGGAGAGCAAATTCGACGCGAACAATCGAAGGAGGCACTTCATCGCTACCTTGAAGAACCCAGTTTTAAACAAAGGAGAGAACCAAATTCGTTCTCTTCTCTTTTGTAATCGAATTGTAATCAGAATCAAAGAAATACAAGTCAATTTTCTTTTGTTCTTTTCATTGCAATTTTTCCAACATACAAAAGATGGCGACTCCGCTGGGGACTAGCTTTTCCGATGAAGAAGTGGTGGCGCAGTCCGACGTCCACCTCATGGGATCGACTGTAGAAACTCTCGTCGTAGAGTTTGATCAAGCAAAGTACGAGGAGGCATTATCCTCGGGATCTCTTAGCCCCAAGGCTAAACGCGATGTCCAAAAGATCTCCAAGGAGATCAACTCTGTTGTTGAAACGCCGAAGAAAGCCCTCTCCTTCGGCCAGGAGCTTAAACTAGCTTTGATGGCTGAAAAGCCCACATCCGCGTCAGCACGACGTGCTTCAGGCCACAAACGGCCTATAGAGGAGACGAGCTCTGTAAACGTCAACGACGCTGCTGCTAAGGCTTTGAAACAAGCCAAGAAGAACGCCGCTCACAGACGGAGAAGATCCATACGACGAGCACACTTGCGTGAAAGCCGAATGTTGGCCCAACGCGAAGATCGCGTTTCTGAAATTTTGCCCGAGCCTAGCGTTCCAAAAACAGAACGTTCGCTTCGTGGCAATGAGCCCGATTACGAGCCTCAGCTAATACAGCTGAAACGCGACCCTGAATGACGCGTTGTTCCTTCAAGAAGCAGCCCTCAGAAGGAAGCTGTCAAAGACAAACGCGGCCCTCACGTACACGTTCAAAAAGAACATGACTTTCAAAAGTCTGTTCCACCAACCAAACGCGACCCTCAGGGGCGCGTTCAACCAAAACATGACCCTCAGGGGTCTGTTTCATCATTTAAACGTAGGCCTCGGCCTAATGTTTACCAAACTAAACGCGACCCTCGCGTTGTTCTTCAAGAACGCGACCCTAGCGTTGTTCTTCAAGAACGCGATCTTCAAGAGGTCCGCCAGGTTCAGAAAAGCCAGCGTGGTTTCAAAATCTACGTCCGACAAGAACCAATTTCATCCACCCAAGGGCAGGGGGTTCCATCTCCGCCTCCATACCCGGGGAAAGTTTCCTCCCAAGTTCCTGATTTGCGGGAATTATTGTCGAGAGGAAAACCAACAGTACAAGCAGCTCACTCATGCCAATGTGAGAGGCTTATATCGGCAGTCTTGTCAGAATGCTATTGTTGTGCATCCACCCCTCGACAGTCTGTGTTCGACAGGTTGATGAATGTCGTTAGGCCTGCCAAACGACAACGCCAATACAAAAAGAAGACAGCTGAAGCGGAATACCCCGAGGTCACCATCAACATGATCGGCAGAGGAAAAGCCTCGCATTCCGATTCCGACGGGTCGCAAAGAAGTCATTCCCCAACTGTTAGGGAAATTTGTGAACAATTCGAAGGAGTATATAGGAATACTCGGACTCGGACAGGAGCTATTCGCCCGGTTAACTATCAAAAGTTAGCCAAAGGCATTACAACAAGTGATGAACATTCGGCAATAGCCGAATCTCAATCTTCAAGCTCTGTCGGAGCACAAGAGGTTTCTGCTTACATGGCGGGAAACCCCGAAGACATAGCCAAAAGAGTGGACGAACATCATGTCATGCTCCAGACGCAACAGGAGACACTTCTCCAATTAAAGGAGATGTTGGCTCAGCTTCTCGCTGAAAAAGGTCAAAAGCCCGAGTCTTCCCGGAGAACTATGTCAAAGGGAAAGCAGAAAGTGCACGAATATTCAGATCGTGAGACTCACAACTTGGATTCATCTTCTGAAAATAAGAAAGAGGTGGAAAAAGAGCTGCATCCCCAGTCCGCTAAAGTGGATGAACTGGAGGATCGCCTTAACGCAATTGCCAATAGAAGCG